AGGTGTTATGGTGGAATTTAAGACTTTCCGGCCGCGAGGGAAGGCAGGCCGAGGCGAGAGGGGGGGGGATGCTTGGCTCCCTTAACTCAGGGCTTGGCACACCATGTCTCCTCCGCAGATGTGACTGGCCACCTGCTTTTGTACAGCTGGTGAGCAAAGAAGTCTTTGAAAACTTTTAAATGAGTAAAAAAAAAATCCTTAGAAAGATAATAAATATTCTGTGACAAGTGAAAATAACCTGCAATTCAAGTACCAGTGCCCGTACAGTGATACTGCAGCTTGTTTCTGCATTGTGGCTGCTTTTGCACCTCGGGAGCAGAGGGCTGAGTCGTGGCCCCCAAGCCGGAAGTATTTATTGTTTGGGTCTTGACCGAAAGGTTGAACGGTTGTCACCTCCCGCCCCAGACAGGTCTGTGGAGATGAAATGCTGTTCCCGTGTTTCCCTTGCAGAAGCTGCAGGCCCAGGGAGGGGGCCCGGACGGCCGCGGAAGGGGGCAGGGCCTGGACTGCGCCACCCTCACCTGCATGATCCAGCTGGCTCAGATCCTGGTCGGAGGGGGCTTGGGCTTTCTGGTCAACATGGCCGGGAGCGTCGTGGTGGTGGTGATCACCGCCTCTCTGGTAGCACTGATTGGCTGCTGCTTTGTGGCTGTCTTCGTTAGATATGTGGATTAGGTTAATAAAGAGACATTGTCCCTAACGTCAGACACAGTGGAGCGCGTGGCAGAAGATCGGTGTTTTCTTCAGCTCTGCGGTTTCGGGGTCTGCCGTTGTCTACTCGGCGTCACGACTTCGGCTGCAGTCATCGGCCGGGCCTACCGTCACCCAGCCTTCTGCGCGAGTCACCGCGTTTCAGGTGTTCTCAGGGCAGGGGTGCGGGGAGGCAGGCTCTGTCTTCCCTGGCATTTCAGGCCTTGAGGACACCCGAGAGGCAGACCAATTCTACACACGACTCTTGGATTTATTCTATGATGCAGTGTTTTACTTAACCAGGGGTCCTATGGCGTTGGGGCTCATATTTTTATCAACTTCACCTGTACTCAAAACATTGCTGGTGATTTATTTTATGACATTCACTTACTCCTGTTTAGTTCATAATAAATTTACTCATAGCTAATTCATGCTGATTTGTGATAACCCAGGCAAGTCGGCCTGAGCAGCTCCTGCTGGAGGATTAACCAAAGCAGCTCATGCCATGGCCACAGTGAGAATACTTCTCTCTAGTCTGCACCTTTGTGCAACCCTCTGGAGACCACGTGAAAGCCTTTGGAAAAACAGCCAAAAAACAGCCTCCCATCTGCTGTGGTCTTGTCTTCTCCAGGTGAAGCGGTTTTTCTCCAGCCCTCCCCTCCCCTCCACTGCTTCTCAGGAAGCCGGGTTTGCTGCAGCCTTGGAGGCAGCATGGTTGAGAAGACAGACCATGGAGCTTAGAGCTCGGCTGGTTTTGAATCTTTACTTTGCTCTCACTAACAAACTATTGACTGTTCCCAAGGCACTCTTGCTCATCCGTACCTCTGGGCTGATGATTCCTACCCCGAGAGCAGTGACCATCAGTCACATGTAACAGAGTGCTTACCACTCTTCCAAGTGCCCCCCCTGTGCTAGCATGGCAGTCTGGGGAGTGGAAGCTGTTGCTGATCTCATTCGCAGACGAGGAAACTGAGGCACAGAGGCACTATGTAACTCATCGGAAGCTCCCCAACTCGTAAGTGGCCAAGCTGGGCTTTGAACCCGGGCACTCAGGTTCTGTGTTTCCTGTAAGAGCAGCACTTAGCCTGGAGGCTGGCGATTGTTCTGCACTCATAAATGATAGCTACTGTCATTATTTTTATTAATTATATTTTATTGATTATTTTTAGGGAGAAAGGAAGGAAGAGAGAGATAGAAACGTCAATGTGAGAGAGAAACATCGATAGGCTGCCGCCCGCATGCCCCCCAATGGGGATCGAGTCCACAACCCGGACATGGGCCCTGACCAAGAATGGAACTGGAACATCTCAGTCCATGACACGATGCTCAATCCACTGAGCCACACCGGCCAGGCTATTGTTATTATTTTTAAAGGCTCCCATCCTATTCCCCCCTGCCTAGATCTGCCCTGGTCCTTCATAAGTGTTTGTCTACACAACTCCAGATGTGCCTGAGCAGGGCAGAATGGAGATTGGCCCACATGTTTTTACAAGTTAAAAATGTACGTGGTTACTTTTCCTGCCTCATCTTAGAGTCTGGTAGTATAATCATTGCCTCAGATGAATTTCTAAACCCTGAGGGCTGGAGGGAGTTTGGAGAAAGGAATGAGCTGTGTTTGAGAACAGACACTGGGTTTTGCACAGTTGCTTCTGTTTGCCTCGTGTGTGGCAGGATGGGTGGGTTCAGTAGGTGCCAGTCCCTGCAGTATCAGCTCCTTTGGGGTAGTGATGCTGAGGAGAGGAAGTAGGCTCCAGTTGGTCTTTGGAAGGCTTGCAGTTCTCCCTCACACCACTGCAGGGCCCAGAGCAAGGGCCTACTAATGAAGGCCCCGGGTCCACAGCCCACCCCTTCTCACACCCTTAGCTCTGTCCAGCACTGTGAGAGCCCTCGTGGGCACTTGGCATTGGCACATCCATAGCTTCCCAACCCCTCCACCTGCAAACAGCCACCCTCGCCACCCTGCAGACCTAAATGTGCATACTGAGTGGTGTGGTCCACCCTCTGGAGGATGCTCGAGGACAGGACCAATGCAGGCCTTGTAAAGAGACTCAAGGCCATTTCGAGGGGAATTCTGAGGTCAGAGGTACTGTAGCATAATCCAGAATGCAGGTGGGGCCCAGGCTCCTGCTGGCCATGGAGGTTCCTTGCCCTGGGGGAGGGGTGCTGGTGAGAGGAGAGGGCAGAGCAGAGTGCTCTAATCATCAACCCCCAGGGCAGGTGCCCAGCAGCCGGGACTAAGGCAGCACTGATGAGCACCCCTGAGCACAGCTGGGGAGTGGATCCATTGTGCTGCAGCCTCCCTCTCCTTCCCAGCTTCTCCTGTGGTCTCAAACTGCATCTCTATCTCACGCTCATTCTCCTGCTACCGATTGGGCGTCCAGGGGACTGCTGCAGTTGTCTTGATTGCCTCCTTTGTGTTTTAAGGGTCCACTCTCTGCTGCTGCTGGGTTGTCATACCTGTGACTGGAGCAGTGCTGAGTGTGGACATCTGGACACCCCGTGATGTGGCCACTTCTAGTCTGTGTGTGGGGGGTGGAGGATAGGGCTTACTCCTACGTGGGCACTCCTTCCCGCCCACTGCTGACACTTGCCACCTGCAGGACACACCGCTTCCCTAGTGGGCACCAGGCACCCCAGGCGCCTGCCGTTTATCCCATTTTCTCCAGATCCCCAATTCTTCACAGTGAACGATTGTGTCACTTAACCTCTGAGCTTGCTCTCTGAGGATGTTTCTCATTTCCTGCCGGCCAACCAGGTCCCCCTGCATTTTGTTTGTATATTCATTTCCAGATAAAGTCATCTCATTCTTTTGGGTGGGTCACGTGTCAAACTACTTGGTTTTCCCCATCTTCCTTCCTCCCTGTACCCCTCACATCATCCAATTTAAAAAAGAAAGGTCATGACTGACTTGGAGGAAACCAAGAGTGAACACCTGCTTCCAACCCCATTTGTATGGATGATGGGCGACCACTCAGAGCACGTCACGTGCCACCGCACTTAGCATTACAAAAGAAACAGCAGCAAGCCACCTTTCTTGCTTTGCCTACCTGACCTTGGCCTCTACATGGTTTGGACATAGAATCGCTTCCTGAGTTTAATGTTTATTTCCTGGTCTGTTCTCCAAGGACTCTTCTGCTGTTTGAAGATTTTGAAATAAATGGTTGGGTGAGCTGGGAGAGTCTCCCATAGCCAAGGGTCTTATCACCTGGACCCCCAAGAAGTCAAAAGTAGTAACCTCTGGCCAACCACAGGACATGGGTTTTATTATAAGTGAAACTCTTTTCAGATGGAACACTGGATGGGCTACTGGGACGAGGAAGGAATCTCTCTCTCTGTCATATACACACACTTAAATATTCAAGGTCCCCACTCCCAGAAGTCTTTCTACAGAGACCTTTTCAAGTTGCTCCTGGGCACAGCTCCCTGTCCACAGGGCAAAGACTGGAGGGCACTGTGTCTCCAGGCAGCCAAAAGGCTCAGGAGAACCAGGCACCCAGGCTTCCTACAGGCGGTCCTGTAACCTTAGTAACCTGCTGTAAATAATGAGCCCCCTTTTCCTTTAGAAGCATAGTCTGAGGAGGTCTCTATTCAGCCTGGATAGTCACACAGGCCCCGCTCCCTCCCTCTATTACTCCACTCCCCAGCGCATAGCTCTTGCTCTCTGGGCACACATATTTTGCCCCATGACATTTAAGCGCAGAGGTCAGTCTTCCTGTGTACCCACCACCATGTCCAAGATGATAAACGGTACAGTTGCCCCCTGGGCGGGGTGCCTCTCTGGAGACGCTTTTCTCCTTGGGGGCGGAGATCGTCAGTCCTTTCTCCCAACTCAGAAAAAGTTTTTTGTCCCCAAACTCTAGGCTGCCCGCGCAGCCACACAAATCAGACAAAGCACAGAGAAGTTTCTGTGGTCAGCTCCCCTGGCTGGATGCACTTAGAGCACCTTTCAAGGGCTCCATAAAAATCGCTGGAGCAAAGGGGCTCAGTTGTCTGCGCTCCATTTGGTTGAACTCCCTTTCCTCATGCCCCAAGCTCTCCACATTCCTGATGCCTTCTCCGCTTCTGGGACCCCCATGCTGCCCAACCAGCGGAAGGCAAGGAAAAGGTGCGAGTGGAAGAGGGAGGGAGGTTGGTGGCTTGGCCCTGTGGGGCTGATCTTGACCCTTTTGCCATTTTTCTCTATCTAGTTTCAAAGCCTCCCCTCTCAGAGAAAGTACCCCCACCCCCAGCCCGCCCAGCATCCCCTAATCCTCTCTGCGCCTGGGGAAGGCCACTTTGGAGTGACCGCGCCCCCTAGGCCTCAGCTAGGGTCAGTAGGTAGAGCTGCTGGGCAGCGGGTCATAGTGTACCCCGCTGTAGACCACCACTCCAGGAGGGTAGTAGAGCAGGTCCGGCTCCACGGCGGGATGAAGGGGCGCCAAGGCCTGCAGCCCCAGATCCTTGGGCTCCGGCTTGGCGGTGGCGGTGGGCTTGGTGGTGGCGGTGAGCCGGCGCATGCTGGTAAGCGATGGGGACGCGATGCGCCACAGCAAGCTCTTGAGCGCCTTGCGGAACTCGTGGCGCACGAGGCAGTAGAGGATGGGGTTGAGACAGCTATTGGAGTGAGCCAAGCACACGCTCACGGGGAACACGTATACCTGGCACAGGAAGTACTCTTGGCTGAATGGCACCACGTTGAACTTGATGAGGATGCTCCAGGTGGTGAGCGCCTGGTTGGGCAGCCAACACAGGAAGAAAGATAGGATCACGATGGTCACTGATTTGGTGACCTTGGACCGTCTCCGAGCGCTGGCTCCTGCCAGGCCACCCCCCGTCGCTGAGGCCCCTCTTTGGGTCCCTGCCACGCAGCGGTCAGAGATGAAGCGCACCAGCAGCAGATAGCACAGGCTGATGATGCCCAGCGGCAGCAGGAAACCTAGGAGCACCTTCTGCAAGTTGTAGAGGCCCAGCCAGAAACGCTTGTCGCGGCCCAGCAACTTGTTGGGGAAGCGCACCAGGCACAGCTCCTCGCCCATCACCTTGACCGTGGTGGAGAAAAAAGCGCTGGGCAGCGAGACCAGCACAGCTAAAGCCCATATCAACACGCACAGCGCCTTGGCCGAGAAGCAGCAGCTGTCCCCCAGGCCGCAGCAGTCGCCCCTGCCGCGTCCTCGGGTCCGGTGGCCTTTAAGGGCAGAGACCACCGAATGGTAGCGCGCCACGCTCATGCAGGTGAGGAAGAAGACGCTGGCGTACATATTCACTGTTGTCACTATGGATACGATCTTACACATGGCCTTGCCGAAGGGCCATTTGAAGTCCAGAGCGTTCTCCACCGCCCAGAAGGGCAGGGTGAGCACGAACTGAAAGTCCGTCAGCGCCAAGTTGGTGACAAAGAGGTTGATGGAGGACTTGCGCCAGCCCTGCTTGCTCTTCATCAGGTAGAGCACCAACAGGTTGCCCACCAGCCCCAACGCGCAAACCACCGAGTACACCACGCTGACGAGGATCCGCACCCGAGCCTCCGTGTCCCCGCGCACTGCCCCGCCGCTTCCCGGGGAATGCCCGGGCGCCGCGCCTTCTGGCAACTCCAGCCCTAACTCCCCCCACAGATCCTGGAGCGGCAGCGTCGCGTTGGCGCTCGCGTTGGCCTCCTGCAGAAGGTCCGGGAGCAGACTGGATATTTCTGCAAGCTCTTCTCCGCCAGCCGCCTTGTTCATGGTGCTATTGTGGCTGCAGCGGCCACCTGCATGTGCAGGTGCCACTAGGTTATGTTCCGGGGGACAAGACCTAAAGGAATCCAGCTCTCCCGGGGTTCCGTTCCGGGGCGAGGGCGCGGGGCGTCCTTGGGGACTTTCAATGCAGCAGCTAAAGACAGCGACTAGGAGCAGAGTGCCAAGCGCATCGCCGGCGCGCAGCGCAGGTCTGGGCACGGGAGTGGAGCTCGGGCGGCTCTGGAGGGGAGTTAGAGAGCAGAGGAAAGCAGCCCCCGAGGCGAGCGGTCGGCCTCCAAGGGTTCTGGGGCCAAGATGGGAGTCTCCGGGTTTCGCGCTGTCAGTGGGACACTGGCGCCCAACCCATCCGGCGCTCAGGACCGCTACTGGGGGCCGCTCCTTCTCTTTCAAGTACCTTTGTCGGTTTCTTCTGCAGCTTGAATGAGGTTTCTGTCTTTGAGAGAAAAAGGGACATCGAAGAGATCCGTCTACCTCGCTCTGACTCTCTGGAGGTCTGTCGATGTCGCCCTCGCTGTCTCGCGTCTCGGTCTCTCCGCAGCTCTCAACTCCCAGTGAGTTGCCCGCGGCACTCGCGGGAGTTATGCTCGCACCGCAAAACCTAGGCGGAGGGCTCCCAAGGAGCATGCGTAAACCCTAGGGAGTGAGACGGGCGCTTTCCGAGGTGCTGAACTTCGCCGCGCCCGCCGCCCGCCGCCCGCCGCCCGCCGCAGGGGAGGAGGAGGAGAGGTGGGCATCAGGCAGGGTCCACCTGCCAACTCCCCCTTTCTTCTTCCAAGTTTCAGGAGGAAATTGTCTAACTTTTTATTTTCCTATGTTGTTTAAAGTAGTCTGCTTTGTTTTGTGATCCCTTCCTTTTTTATTCCCAAACATTTCTGTTAGAATTATTTTCTTCCTCACTCCCATTTTATCTTTGAAATTTGATGAAGTGTGATTCTAAAAGTGCACGATCTCCTGCCCATTTTTTTTAAAAAGCATTGATCATGGCTTCTTTTCATGTTCAGACCATAAATCAGACGATGGGCTCTTACTGAATATACAAACAAACACAAACTTCACATTGCCTGCTTCAATTAGCTGGCCACTGTAACTGGTGTCTGTGATTGTTAGGATTTTCAAAGGATCTTCACATAGTAAAGCTCTGGGCTCAGCCCTGGCTGTTTGGCTTGGTGGTTAGAGTGTGGGCTCATAGACCAAAGGTTCTCAGGTTAGATTCCTGGTCCAGGGCATGTACCTGGGCTTCGGGTTCGAATCCGGGCTCTGGTCTGGGTCCTGCAGGAGGCAACCAGTCATATGTCTCTCTCACATCAATGTTTCTCTCCCTCTTTCCCTCCTTCCCTTTCATTCCATCTGAAAATCAATGGGAAAATGTCCTCAAGTGAGGATTAACAAAAAACAAAACAAAATAAACAACAACAACAACAAAAATCTGGGTTCAAGTGTTGCCCTCTGCTTTGGTATATTCTAAAAACTGAAGCTAAAGTAGAGCATAAAATTGATGAGCCGAGTTCATAGACATGAGACACCATCTGTCTGGCTCTCAGCCCAACGCTCCTCAATAAACATACATCCGCACTCTCTTTGCCTTGATGCTGTTGGAATAAAGGGTTCCACAGGGCTGCTTTGGACCACCAGCTCCCTATTTCCACCACTATTATGACAAGAACTCTTTACCAGGTGCTCTTCAGACCAAAGGAAGTAAATTCTAAGGAATCTTCTGTAGTCCTTTGGGCAAAGGGAACTAGAGTAAACTATTTTAATTACTTCTCAAATTGTGGTTTATTTCGATGACAGCTCAACTGCTCTAGTGTATATCACACTTTTGGGGATGGATTTAAGAAATTTGAAATGTTTTCCTCACTGTCTAGAACTAAACTGAGACAAAAGTATCTTAAACATAATTGTCCTCAGTTCTTACAGAGATAAGGAAGTTGGGACTTTAAATCAGAGGAGATAGGAAAAAAATTAGTAAAAAAGAAACATGGTACCCAAAACATATGAAGGGAAAAGGAAACCGTCTTGATTCTAAAGCAAGAGACCAGTTTCAGAGTCGATTCTGGATTGCTTATCTTTTCTGCTAGGGGGCGCCAGGGCTTTAGTAAAAGCAAAAACAAAACAAAACCACCCACTTCTATCAGTTCTAATATGAAAAAGTTCAGCTCTGCCCTGATTATTCCTCAACCGGCTGCTTCTGTGGACACCTCTTTTCTATGTTTTAATAACCCCACCTTCAAGCTCAATTTTCCCTTCAATTTTTATTAGTTATTTCTCTATTAAATTCCTCTCTCTTTCTTTCTAATATTTCAAGGTGCTGTTAAAAACAAGGAAGCCTAGGGTATACCCTAAAGCCCTTTGCCTCAGTTTCCTCATCTGTATATGGGAGGAATTGTGCTTTTCAAATACTCTGAGGACAGGTGCTGAGCGGGTGACATCAGAGTTGGCTGGGGAGCTTGCCGCCTCCTCCCAGCCCTAAACCAGCTCCAGAGATTCTGATTCTCAGTGGAGTTGGAAAGGGGCCCAAGAATCTACATTTTAAATACATTCTTCAGGTGAAACTAATTTCCCCCCTCCCCAAGTTTGGGAACATCTGAACTTATATTTCTTATCTAACATTCCATGTAAGAATATTTAAATACCAAAGAACAATTAATGTCCAATGATTTATCACACACTGGGATTAGAAGCAAAGGAACAGAAGGGGGTTTTGCTAAATTTCACTAAAATCACATTTAAGACTGACAGGTGACATTTTCTTCATTGCTGGAGTGCCATGAGCTCCTGAGGTCTGCCAGGCCTTGAGTACTAGCCAGCACCACTCAGACTGAGCCCTCGGAGAGGCTGTTCCCAAGTGCGGCTCTCGGAGGGCTGCCAGACGCCAACAGCACAGCTCTGTTACTCCACACACTTATGACCTGAGTTCCTACTGTGTGCAAAGCAATGTGGTAGGTGTTTGAAGATACAACAACAACAATGATACAATATGAATAATAATTGAAGCACTGATAATCATTCACATTACACATCTATTTGGACACTGTATTCTTTTCCCAGGGTTGCTGAAACAAATGACCACAAATGAGATTATTGAAAACAACAGAACATTATTCTTTCAATATTCCAGAGGCTAGAAGTCAGAAATTAAGGTCTTTCTAGAGTTGGTTTATTCTGGAGAGTCTGGGGAAGAAAGCATCCCATGCCTCCCTCTTAACTTCTGGGGTTCTAAGGCAAACCCTGGGTCTGTAGCTGCATCTCTCCCATCTCTGTCTCTGTCTTCAGGTGACAGTCTCCTCTGTGTGTGTGTCTGTGTCTCTGTTTTTTCTCCTTACGAGGACACTGGTCACTGAATTAGGGTCTGCTATAATTCAATGACTTCATCCTAATTAATTACATCTGAAAGACTCTCCTTCCAAACAAGGTCACATTCACCAGTACCAGAGGCTAGAACTTGAACATATCTTTTTGAGGGACACAATTCTACCTGCTATAGATAACAACTGTGTGCACGGTACAAGAAGTTTTATCTGGCCCTGGCCAGTTTGGCTCAGCGGTTAAAGCGTCCGCCTGCGGTCCAGAGAGACCTGGGTTCGGTTCCCGCTAAGGGCATGTACCTCGGTTGCAGTTTGTCCCCGGCCCTGGTTGGTTGTGCGGGTGGCAGCCACTCGATGTGTCCCTTTCACATCGATGTTTCTCTCTCTCTCTCTTCCTCTCTCTCCTTCCCACTCTGTCTGTACAAAGGATAGAAAAATGTCCTCGGGTGAGGAAAAAAACAAAACAAAACAAAAAAGAATAAATCTCATTAAAAAAAAAAAGAAGTTTTATGTGCATTATATCACCTAATGCTCACAAGGTTTAGGTTGATACTATTATTATTGCAAATCTGATTTCTAGCCCTTAATCCTCAGAGCCCCAGAATTTTATGTGTAACTGCTACTTTACAGTTCTAGCTGGCTGCTGATTTTTCAGTTTTATTAAATGGCATCACTGCTCACTTAGATGTTCAAGCTAGACCCAAGAGTAACTCTTTGTTTTTCATGTTCAATCTAACCCAGGCGAGTAGGTCCTGTTAGTGTGTCCCCAAGAATAAAAGCAAATCTCCCCCAAACTGAAAAACTCCTAAGTTCATCTAATTCTCATTCTTTTGTCATTTCTCTATGTATTAGTCATCTCTTGATGAATAACAATTTATGTCAAAACTTTATGGTGTAAAACAACAATTTTTATCTCAGTTTCTGTAGGTCAGGAATCTGGATGCAGCATAATGTCAGCAACTCACAGTCTCTCATGAAGTTGCAGTCAAGCTATCAACTGGGGCTGAGTTTTTTGTTTGTTTATTTGTTTGTTTTTTTAGAAACAGAGAGAGACATCGATGTGCGAGAGAAACATCTCACACTGATAGGCTGCTTCCTGCACGCCCCCTACTGAAGATTGAGCCTGAAACCCAGGCATGTGCCCTGATGGGGAATCGACTGGGACCCCTCAGTCCATGGGACGATGCTCAATCCACTTAGCCACAAGGGCCAGGCAGGGCTGAGGTTTTATCTGAAAGAAGGCTTTAGTGGCAAGGTGAGGAGGGTGCCTTTCAGTTCACTCACTTGGGTGTTGGTAGACCTTGATCTCTCACCATGCGGAGTTCTCACAGGGCTGATTCACAGCATTGCAGCTAGTTTGCACCAGGGTGAGTGACGAGAGAGGGAGAACTCAGCATGGAAGCTAGTCTTTTTATAACCTAATGTCGGAAGTATCACTTCTGCCATATTCTAGTCTTCAGAGATGAGTCAGTAAGTCCAGTCCACACTCAAAGAGAGGGAAGTTATACAACAATATGATCACTGGGATCATTTTAATGGCTCACAGTAGGGTGGCAGGTTGTCAAAATATCCAGCAGAAAACAGGATTTGAAGGGCTACTCAGCTGAGCAGCCATTTGAACAACTACGCAGTGATGGGGAACAGAGATTGAAGTTCAAGCCTAGTAAAGTGGAGAGGAACTAGAAAATAGCCCAGGCTTTCAGTCAAAACCC